ATGACAAAATGAGATAAAAATACTACAAGAAAATTAAAGACAATTTATCTCATATGAATATGAATACAAAATCCTCAACAAAATACTGAAAACCCAAGTCTGGCAAAACATGAGGAGTATACATCATGCCCAAATAGGAGTTATCTCAGGAATGTAAAGCTGGCAACCAAAATTCAATTAATGTTTAAGATACGACCCAAATACAATTAAAAACAAAAGCCACAATCATAGAAATAGAAAAAAAAAGCATTTGAAAAATACCTTTTCACAATAAGAAGGGCCAGGGATTTGGGTCAGTGGTTCTGCCACCTGCCTCACAATAAGAAAAAAGTCAACTGGCCTAGTGGGGATGCAGCTCAGGGGCAAAGTGGTTGCTGAGGATGTCAGGCTGTGACACATCCCCAGCACCACAAACACAATAAAACAAAATAGCCAGAAAACTAAGAAGAAAAGGGAAAGGACGGAGACAGCTCAGTGGAGCAGCCCCCTACCTTTCAAGTGCAAGGTCCTGAGTTTGATCCCCAGCACCAAAAAAATAAATCAATAAGTAAGTAAGTAAATAAATAAATAAATGGGAATCCCCACAACCTGATAAAAGGAGCCCATGAAAACCTAACAGCTAACATCATAATTAATGCTGAAAGGCTGAATGCTTTCCCCCGAAGATCAGAAACAAGAGGGCTGGGGATTTAGCTCAGTGGTACCGGCGCCTCCTTGCAAGGTCCTGAGTTCAATCCCTGGTACAGAAAAAAAGAAAGAAACAAGAAGGATGCTCACTCTTGCCACTTCTATTCAATACTGTACCAAAGGTGCTAGCCAGCTAAGGCAATTAGGCAGAAAAAAGAAGTAAAAGGAATCCAGAGTGGAAGGTAAAACTAAGATAACATGATTTTAATAGCGGAGTAATACACAAAAAGATAGGCCCTTGCTTTTCCCTTGCCTTGTTTCCATATTTGTTTGTTTTTCCCACAAAATGTTTTGTTCCAGAAATGTAACAGTTTGTGGGGCTGGGCAGAGCTCCTGCCCAATGTATCAAAATGTTTTGTGACTGAACTGTGTGACCTTTCAGGAATGTTATGTTAAGCTTCACCCCTTTCAGAACGTCATTATTCAGAACGCCCCCTTATAAGTATGTTCTCTTAAATTCTGCCCTCACAAGAATGTTGTTAAGCTTCACCCGCTTCCAAGAATGTTCTATAACTCCACCCCTCTGCTTCAGCATGCTCACCTACCCTATGTAAGGAGGCTCTCTTTTTTTTCATACCAGGGATCCAACTTGGGTCCTTGCACTTGGCAAGGCAGGCGGCAGAACCACTGAGCTAAATCCCTGGCTAGCAATGTCTCTTTTCTGTAAGGCACTCAGACTTTAGGTATGAACTCCTCTGAGCCTGCTGGTGTAATAAAGGTTTTTCTCCACCTCTTTGAGTGACCATCGGATTCTCAAGTCTTCAAATGTTGATAGCCGTGGCCCAGAGCTGTAACACTGAGCTCTAACACTCAGCTGTGCCTCAGAGCTGTGGCAGTTGGCTGTAACACTGAGCTGTAACACTTGGCTATGGCACTAAGCTATTCTACTTTGCCACAACAATTCTGTACATAGAAAATGTGAAGCAGACCATTAAAAGGCTATTAAACCTAATAAATTCAGCAAAGTTGCAAGATACTAGATCAGTATTTTAAAAAATCAATATATTTTCAATGAATCCAAAATGGAAATGGGAAGGAAATGTTCAAATGGGAAGGGGAACAAGGGAGGAGGGAGGGAGATAGGGAGAAAGGAAGGGACAAAAAAAGTGAAAATAGAAGGAAAAAATAGAAACAAAGCTTTTGTACGTAGGGAGGGGAAGGGCTTAGGGAAGTGTTAGGATAAAATTTATTTTTAAAAAATGAACAATCCAAATGAACATAAGAAAATTCCTATTATAGCATCAAAAGGAATAAAAGAAGTACAAACTTATACTTTGAAAGCTATAAAACACTGTTGAAAGAAATTAGAGCTATAAATAAATCATCTCATGTTCATGAACTGGAAAATGTAATACTATTAAGATAACAATATTCCTCAAATGAATCTACAGATTCAACAAAATCCCTATCAGAATCCAAGATGAGTCTTTGCAAAAACTGACAGATTCTAAAATTAGAATTGCATGGGACCCAGAATAGCCACTCTTGAAAAGAAAAAACAAGCTTATTGTGATGGCACATGCCTGTAATCCTAGCACTCTGGGAGGCTAAGGCAGGAGGACTGTGAGTTTGAGGTTTGCCTGGGCAATGTAACAAGACTGTGCCTCAAAATAAAAAATTTAAAAAGGAACAGGGATATAGCTCAATGTGAAGGCCCTGGGTTACATCTCCAGTATCACAAACAGAACACAGCAGAACAGAACAGAGAAAAACAGGGCCAGACCGGGCCAAACCAGGAGTTAGAGGATTCACTCTTCCCAATTATTCCAAAGCAACAGTAAACAAGACAGTGTGCTACAACTGGCATAAGGACAGTCATATTGATCAATAAGTGTGCTCTTGTGTCCATGGTGAGCTGATTTTTTGACAAGATAAAAGAATAGTTTTTCAACAAATAGTAGTGGGACAACAGGATAACCACATACATAAGAATGAAGTTGGAGCTGTACTTCATGCCATCTACAAAAATTAATTCAAAATGTATCCCAAAGATCTAATGTGTGGAATAAAAATACAAAATTCTTAGAAGAAAAGATCAAGGTAAATCTGCACGACTCAGATTTGGCAATGAAATACTAACAAAAACACAAAATAAAAATAGATAAACCGGACTTCATCAAAATGAGCAATTTCCATGCTGTGAAGAACACCATTAAGAAGCAAAGGGCTAGGGAGGTAGCTTAGTGTTAAGATGCTTGTCCGGCATGCACACAGCTTCAATCCCTAATGAAGGAGGAAGGAAGGGAGGGAGGGACAGAGGGCCAGGAGAGAGAGGGAGGGAGATATACACTGTTCCATTCCCACAAATTTGGAGAAAATATTTTCAAATCATGTATTTGATGTGACAATTGTATCCAGAATACATAAGAACTCTTACAACTCAATAATAAATAATCCAATCTTAAAATGGTCAAAAGACTTGAGCCAAGTGTAGTGGCACAAACTTGTCATACCAGCACTCAGGAGGCAGAGGCGGGAGGACAGCCATGAATTCAAAGCCAGCCTGAACTACAAAGTGAGGCCATACCTCAAACAATAAATTAAAATCAATAAAATAAAATAAGCAAAGGAATTGAATAGCTGTTTCTCTAAAGAAAATATGTAAATGGCCAAGACTAGATGAAAAGATGTGCAATATCATTTGAAATGCAAAATCAGCCACTTTAAAAAACAAATACCATTTTACACTCAACAGAACAACTAAAATGAGTAATTGGTAATAACAAGAATGTGGAGAAACTGGAACTTTTGCACTGCTGATAGTAATGTAGGTTGGTACAGTTACTATGGAAAACAGTCTGAACTTTCATGTTTAAATGTAAAGTTACTAGGGCCAGGGGTTTAGTTTAGTGGCACAGCACCTGCCTCACAAGCACAAGGTCCTGAGTTTGATTCCTGATACCAAAAATTTTAAAAAAAAAAAAAAAAAAAAAAAAAAGGAAAGTTATTAAGTGATCCAGAAATTCTACTCCTAGATATATATATCCAATAAAAGTGAAGCCTCACAAACACTTCCACGAGTGTTCACAGCAGCATTATTCATGGCAAAAAGCGGAGGCCCCTCAAATGTCCATGAGGGGATGAATAAACAAAATCCATAGATTGCCGGGCTTGGTGGCACACACCACACACCTGTAATCCTAGCACTTGAGAGGCTGAGGCAGGAGGATCGCTGTGAGTTCGAGACCAGCCTGGGCTACATAGTGAGTTCCAGGTCAGTCTCAACCACATAGTGAGACTCTGTCTCAAAAAAACAAACAAAAAAAACAAACAAAATCCATAGAATAAAATATTACTTGGCCACATAAAGGAATAAAGTACTGATACAAGCTATAACATGCACAAATCCTGAAAACATTATGCTGAGTCAAAGAAGCAAAAATAAAAAGATATTTTTTAAGGCTTCACTTAAATGAACTGTCCAAAGTAGAAAAATCTATAGAGAAGAAAGCATTTGTGATTGTTTAGGGATGGGCAATTTAAATAGACAATGACCACTGACAGGTACAGGTTTTCTTGGGAGGATTAGTGAAAATATTCTGACATTGTGGTGATGACTGTATAACTCTTTGGATGTATTAAAAACGATTGAAAGGGGCCGGGGATTTAGTTCAGTGGTGCTCCTGTCTGCCTTGCAAGTACAAGGTCCTGAGTTTGATCCCTGGTATGGGGGGAGGGCCCACTGCGAAAAGAAGAAAAATGGAAGCAAAACTTTTGTAAATAGGGAGGGATGGCAGGGAGGGAAGGGGAATGGGAAAGACAAGAACCAAGATATATCATATAGGGCTGGGGATTTAGCTCAGTGGTTCTGCCACCTGCCTCACAAGCGCAACGATCCGAGTTGGATCTGAGTTGGATTCCTGGTGCCAAAAAAAAAAAAAAAAAAAAAAAAACCCAAAAAAAACCAAACCAAATCCTACATTAAAGATATATCATGTACAGGTACAAACCCCAATGATGAATGCGATCATAATGTATACCTGAGATGTACCAATAAACTCAATGAGAAAAAAAAATTAAAAATAGGGCCAGGGATGTAGCTCAGTAGTGCAGCATTTGTTTGCCTGGCAAATGCAAGGCCCTTTTTTGGATTCCCAAAAAATAATGAAGCTAAATAAATAAATAAATAAATAATAAGATAGAAATGGATAAATGAAATACATGCAAAAAATACTGAAACATACATGTTAAATGGGCATATTGTGTATGTGTATATATATATATATATATATATATATATAAATTATATTTCAAAAAGATGCTTAAAAAATTCTATAACATGAACAGCAGAATACAACTAATAAGACACTCACCTCTCTCTCCATTTCATCCTCCTCTTCTAAAATATCATATACCTGCTCTAGGAGCTGAACCCCTAGGCCCTGGATGACATCAGCTCTCAAGACTTCAAGTATTCTCTTGATCTTTTCAGAGCCTGGAGTGATGGCTAAAAAGCAGTAACAAAAACGGAAAATAAACATTTTCACCAACACAGAAAAACAACACAGTTTTTTTTAAGTTTTTTAAAAATCTTGACATTTGGTAATGACATATATATGTGATAATG